TCAAACCCTTAAACATTCGTGTCAGTATTTAAATAATAATATATTCTTTTTAAAAAAGGCCTTATACTTTTCAAGTGTAAATACTTCAGCATATATCAGAGCTCCGGTTCTAAGTACGAGATTTTGCCAAAAGCAAAGCACATCAATATATAATTTAAATAATGAAAACTAAAGTATTTAGAAACCAAGCTGTTGTGTGACAAAAAAAAAAATCATTTAGGTGAAAGGGTAACAAACATCAAAATTCAAGAACTATAATAGCCCTGAGGGCAAATAATGCATATGAAGGAAGTTATGAAATGGTTCAAGCTCTGCAAAGAAAAAATAATTGATTCATTTAAAAGCTGCCTATACAATGTTTTTCAATAATTGTAGTATGAATTATTTAGAAAAATGTTATGTCTAAACTTAGCTACTATTTTATTGAAAGGACCTTAAGTACTATGAGAAAAACTAAAATAAGAATATATCATTTCATATATGTAATTTTGGATGTTCACTTCTAATAATTATGAATTTCCACAAAAGTTAAGATTATCTACCTGACATTGGTACATTTCAAATTTCTACTCTTTTTCAAATTTAAACGAGATTAAAATTGAAAGCAAGATTCACTAACATTTCAATTTCCATCCCATAATTATTCCTTAAAGTTAACAAATATATGAAGATGCCATTCCTTTAAATCATACTGTCTAAGCTTAATAAAAATTTTGGTGTTTTCTGGAAGTTGATGCAGAATATTCTAGGGGAACATCTGATTTCAGTTTTACTATAATTGCAACTATGTGCATTGTAAAAAAAAAGTTCAAATGGTCACAAGACTTCTATTTAGACTATTCTTTTAATTTAATTTTCTGACCAATAGTTCATGTGGCACAGACTCCTAGGGGAGGCCAGTGTTTTGAATACTGTATATAGGCCATCCGTTTTTTTTCTTTTAAACTTTTCTCTTGAGAGAATTTTGAAATATATTGTGACACCATTCCTCCCCCAAAAAAAATAGGAGAATAGTCTTATAAGTCCACACTCAAATTTAAGAAATAAAAGAAAATAATTTTTAAAAGGTTCCTCCCGAATTACCTCATAAATTTTAAAAAAAATAAAAACCAAGAAGCCCCAACAGCAAAAAGTGTACTTTACCAGTCTTTTGACTGAGGAGCAGCATTGAAGCACCAATGACCAAGTGAGTTTCTTAACTGCTCTTAGTTATCAGTCATGATATAGCAAACCATAATCTGATCAACTAGATGAAAACTAAATTCCCGAACAGTAATCCTTGTTGTTGTTACGTGAAAAATTATCCACAATAATGCTAAATATACTTTACACGAGAACTTGTCAACTTCTGAACACTAGAGGGCAAGTAAAGCACTAGAAGGAATATTTAAATTATAGATTAAAAGCGGCAAAGGCAAGTCTGGTACATTATTTTTTTTGAAAGTAAAATCATAACAATTTAATGAATTTATTCCTTTTTAAGTTGTGGAGTCCGCAATGTAAATTCTCTAGTGTGTCATTTTGGTATGAGAGTTACTTTTTGTAAATCCAAATAAGCCTAGATGTGTCCCATGATAAACCCTGGTTTCAATCTTTTCCAGGAAGTTATATTCTTTACAAAACGCACCTAAATAAAGAAGAACAAGCCATTACTTTAGTACAATTTAAAGAAAATGAAAATAAAAATAATTTCCACTTAGGAACTTAAAACCAGTCCACACCGTTTTAATGATTATGGAGCTGGAATATACAGGTTTGGCCTAAAGAGAAGTATAGTGGTTAATCTGTAAACTACTAATTTTATCAATAGAGTTCTCACTGCATTCAGAAAAAGTACTGATTCTGAAATTGAAACTGCAAACAATGCAACCAATTTTGCAATGCTGTATACAGAGTACACTTATTTACATGGGGTGGGAGGAGGTGTGGTAAGTGTATTTTTACCTCCTTACCAACACACATAACCAAAGCAAGCAAGCAATACAGGCACATCTATGCACTATTAAATGTTTTCTCAATGGAGGTAGGAAGGGGGAAGGCTGGTCCAAACAATGTATACACATG